GTTGTATACCGTATTTAAACAAAAATCCACCATTTTCATTCACCGTTTCTGTATTGCACATGTACATTTCAACTTTTTTCACAATCCTTAATTTTAATAATTAAGATTGATTTTAAAAATCTTTAGAGATATACATATAAATAGTGGCCCAAGCCTATGTCGTAATTACGACATAAATATGTCGAAATTACGACATAGTATGTCGTAATTACGACTTATTATGTCGAAATTACGACATAATAAGTCGTAATTACGACATAAAAATATATATTTCAGTGGCCCTAATAGGCTTTCGTAGTTTATTATCTAAAAAGAACCAAATTAAATAATTATGTTCGCCTTAACTACCGATTGCATCGCCCGTGACTTACGTCAACAAACCCATGTGAGCGATTTTTTTTTCTGCACACTGCTTACTTAGCTTGTTGCATGGATGCAAGCAATGTAAGGTTTAAAAAAAATTAATGTTGGTGGCGCACTTCACATCTTGTGCTCAAGATGAAAAAAAAGCGATCGTTTTTCGTCGACTATAGGCATTTTTAGTCGATTTTCATAATTAAAAAATAAATAAATAAATTTAATAAAATTTGTATTAGTTTTTGTAGATCAGTTTAGTCTAGTTTTAGTTAATACTAGGCTAATTACAAGATATTTTGTATAGATATTTCAACTAGCAATCATTTTTTTTAATTTGCTGGTTTGTGAATTTTTACCTAGCAATTATGACAAACCTACTAGCAAATTGCTAGTTTGCTAGCGTGAATTTCGAGCCCTGCTTTTGAAAATTTGAATTGTCTTTTTCTTAGTCTTTTTTGTGAACTTTACTGTACATATTGTTTTGGACGCACCTTCGATTGAGAAGTGTGCCACTGATTGAAAAGTGTAGTTCCTAATAAGTTATTATTATTATAGTACGCCCGCTATAAACTCAGTAAGCAGAAAACAAAAGTACTGTGTCTTGTGGAGAACAGATAAACAGACAAACAGACCGTGCGCGGTGGAGTACTGGGTAATAAAAAGTACCTACAGTACAAGCCTTAGTTGGCGTCCTACACAATCTGCGTAGGGCGTATCGTTTTTTACACTCTCAATGAGCGTAGCGTAGCGTAGTCTCTTGTTCTATTTATACTCTTTGCTTTCTGTATCAAAGTGAACACTAAAAATTTTTTTGTGAGCACTTGGACTTACAAAATTCTTCCTCGTAAACTGAACGAAGCGAATCCACTGTCGTCTAATTCTTTGATTTTTTGGGAACACAAAAAAATGAAAATCATCCTTGTCGGAATTCGGGCAGCCCCCAACAACACAATTTTTCGGCATTACTGCTATTATTCTATCGCTAGGAATTACACTCAGTGTATCTGGTGGTCGATGCAATACTTTCTAAACTGAACAATAAACAAAAGGTTACTAAGGGGCGTGATGACGTCACATGCTTGACCTTTCAATATTTTAGGATTTTTATGTCACCTCTTCGTAAAAGTCTTTAAAAGTACGATTCTAGGAATATTTGTGCCATTAAATCAATGCATACATTAAGTAATCAGTACAACACAGATGTTCTGTAAGTAAAAGCATAATTTATTAGCTTGTCATACAGTCTTTTTCATAAAAATGAATTAAAATTCATTTTTAGCTCAAGTTCTAAAACTAGTCATCTTACCATACACTTAGCCATGCAACTGTATTTTAATTATTGAAATTTTTATTAGGTTCCTGGTATTATATTCTAACTATTGTACCGTAAATTGTTTTTATCTGAATGTGTTTGAATGTTGTTTTTTTTTGTGATTTTTTTTTTATCATTTTTGGAGTGATTTTATATTTTATGTTTTCAATGTTCCCTTGGCATTTACAATGTTGGGGTGAAATAAAATAAAATATGATAAATAAATATTATTTAAAAAAAAATTTTATGTCCAATAATTTAATTTTAACACTTACCACTTAATTAAGCCTAAATATATATCTATTATATTTGCCATATATAGGGCCATATCATAATTACTGTACTGTAAATTTATTTAAGAAATTTTATATTTGTGACATACTGTAGAAGAGTATATTGAAACAGAAAGTTTCTAATACTTTGTTAATGTGCTGACACTTTTATATATTTATATACTCAAGTGCTCATAAACTGTGCCTCGCTGTCACAAAGAGATGAATTGGTAGAAGGACAGCTAAGAGTATGTTCAAACACACGGCGTAAGGCTAGCGGAAGCCTGGTGTAGTGTACGCCTTTTAGTGTGAATTAGGCAGTGGCGTTACTTATGCCACTCACAACGCTACCTGCAGACCCCAGATTAGTTAACACCATGGAGCTAACGCCAGTGATGCTTATTGAATGATTTGTAAATTAGAATGAAGTAAAATTGTTCATTTAATATAGCAAACGCCGTTTGGATTAGCTACGCCAGTCTTATGCTGCATGTGTGGACATACCCAAAGGCCCATTACCTGTCCCAAAGGTGTATCATGTTACCTGTAGGTGTGAAAAGTTAGGTTACAGTTACATCCACATTCCACAAATGCTTTTCTAAAAATCCTGTAGATGTACTCGGCATTTAGGCAACAAAATTAAGTGAAAATGAACTTCATATGCCATTTATTCAAGAATTGGTTGATGGTCAATCTTCAGTTTCTGATATTTGAATTCTACTTTTAATACCTGTAATACTTTATTATCACATTTATTGTCACACCCATTTCTGGCCAGCCATATCTGGCTATATGAGTGACAAGCAAACATACTGTACAATAACAAAACTATAATTCGTGATAGTGCATTACAAATCAAGAGGACTAAATGAGAACAGAATTCACTCTTCTGCTGTTTAAACAAAACTGTACGATGGGATTCTAGAATACTGCGTGCATATTTAGCTAACTAAATGACAACGGTCACCATTGGACATCAAGAATATAAACTTATCTAGGGTATCAGATAATGAAATGAATGTCGGATGCATGTTAGTTAATTTGGAATATAAGATTTTTCTCAGAGAATCATAATATAATGCATACAAATCATAAAACAGTGAAATTCATCCTCGATACCATTCATAAAGGGCAAATTTGTTCATCCGTTCATGGGTACAATTTACTTTGTCAAATAACGTGTTCACTTTATAGCACCAATTTCTTATTGTTTAGACAAAGTTGAGTAGACCAACAATCCACATTATGGTAATCTGTCTTCGTTCATAATTTAACTCCATAATCTAGCTATACATGCTTTGCTTTTGAACAAATGGGGTATCCCAGGCAAAATCGCCAAGTTTAGCATTTCTAGGTGCCTGCTGTACTTTCCGATACGAGGAAAGAAACGACCTGCCCTATAAAATACCGAATTTATCGATAAATATTCGACTACTGTACGCCCCAAACGGCACATCCATATTCAAGAATAGGCGCCACCATGGCGTCATATAGCTTCGTAAACGTTTTAAAATTTGACCCCCCCCCAACTATCTTAGATTTAGTTATTATTACCCCAAGCGCTCGAGAAGCAGAAGCAGCCAAATTATGTGCAGTTACATTGAAGTCAAGAAATTGGTTCAAACATAACCCTCAGTATTTATAACTCTTCACAGTGGCAATATTCACCGCATGAGAACTTTGGTGCGAAAATTTGGTGAGAACATTTTCTCACTTTGGTGCGAAAATGTTCCACTTGTGTTTTACCTAATTCATTAATAGATATACGCCATTTTCTAGCTCACACTGAGATGCAATTTAATTTCATTTGAAGTGAAT